TGTGCTTTCTGCAGGATTTGAACCCTTAAACTAAATGTCTTCACTAGGTTTCATTTTATTTTAAAGATAAATTTGCTTCTTAACTGTTTTTTTTTTCCATTGATTTTCTCTCTCTGTCTCTATTGAAGTGAAAATTAAACTAACATCCATCACTAGTCTGTTAACCTTTCTCCTGCCTCTTCCTTTTGACACAGAATTTGCTCTACATTTTGGGCCTGGGGCATGTGTATGCATCTTGTAATGTTTCAAAGCAGAAAAAGAGATCTCATTATAAAAATAGTGTGCTATCATGTGGAGGATTAGACATTCAGCTGTGTGAGTTTACCTTAAGAATCAGATGGATTTTGCATTTGGTGCGCACAGTTAAAAGGCTGTTTCTTTGTGCGGTACACTGGGAAGGCGCTGATGTGGTCTTGGTTTTGTTTTTTAGTGTGGGCTGGTGCTTATTTTTGTGCTTGTTTGTATGTAGATTAGACCTTCTGGAGGAAGTCGCTCAAGGGCTTATTTGGTACTGTTTCCAAAAATTCCTGTCCCTAAGAATGTGGTTGAGTTCTTGTTTTTATCTTTTAGAATGAAGTTGGTTGACATTCTAACATAGGCTATTATTGGTCACATGACTTCCAGTTCTCTTTGTGACTCCTCCTTTTCCTTTAGTCCTGTGTACTGCAGGGTCAGATCACAGCTTGTCACACCTCTGCCTAGAATTGTCAGTAGCTGTTCTACTGTCTGTGGAGTTAAGTTCAAAGTCCTTATTTTTGTCTTGAATCAGAATCCTGATATGGCACTGTAGAATAAACAGTGGACTGCCAATCACAAGGTTGGTGGTTCAAACGCACCAGCCTCTTCTTGGAAACCCTGTACAGGGTTGCTATGAGTCGGAAGTGGCCTGACAGCAATTAACAACAACAACAACAACTTTCCGCTGTCTGTGGAATTAAGTTCCGACCATTTGATCCCTTCCATGGTCTGGCTACTTGTCTTTGTAGCCTAGTCACATCCTGCTGCCTTCTGTGTTCTTTTACATTAACAATGCATTTATTCATCTCTCAGTGACAGACATTGGATTTCATTTAATCCTGGCAATAAATGTGAATGGATTCCAGTTTAGAATCCATTATTGGGGTTATATCAGTCCAGAGTAGGGCTGATTTAGAGTCCATGCCCTTTAAAATCTGTCTTATCATTTTGTTCCCACTTTTTACTCTGCCTGGAAAATCCTCTCCTCTGCTCCCCATTCTGCTTATCAGAATGCAAAACCATAATCGGATGTACAAGTCAAATGCTATTGCTACCACAAATCCTTTCCCCAGTCCCACCAGTCAGGTATTGTCCGTCCCCTCTTTTGAGCCCCATTGGTGCTTTCAGTCTCTTTATGGCACTTAGTATGTGTTGTATTATGGTGACTTATGTCCTTGTATCCTTGACTAGATTGCAAACTCCTTGAAGACAGGGACCCTGTCTTCTTTTTATTTCTAAAATACCCTGACAACTTAGATCATTTCTCAGAAAATGTTGAGTGAACATTCCTGAATGCTGGGAGAAATAACATCGTGTTCTTAGCTTGTGCTACTTTAAGAAAAAGTTCAGAGCAGAGACTTCTGCCTGAGGGAGGGATGTGTTGGCCCAGGTGTGTATGTACATTGTTTTATGATATACTCTATGCATGAGGCTGGACAGCCAGGAAGCCAACCTTGTTGGAAATATTTATGTGTTTTCCTCTCTCTTCTTTCTTTCTCTCTGTAGTTCTTACCTGTAATTATTTCCATAATTTTAGAAGGTCTTAACATTCTTCCTAAGTAATAATTTTGTTTTTACTTGCTTCCAGCTAATAATTCTCTGAATAACTTAAATGATTAGATGATTTCATTTTAAAAAATTGTTATGCATTTTCATTCAGGTACCTCAAAATCTCTTGTTTCCATCCAATTCATTCCATTTTATTATTAAACTACAACTGGGACCACAAAGCTTTCATGAGCAAGAATGACATCTTGGCTTCGTTCCCTGAGGAGCCAGCTCTGTGCCAGATTCTATTTGCTCAGCTCTCAATGAGGCTGTTGTGGAAATGTGGGTTTTCTGTGCTGTGAGAATTTCTGTGTACAAAGAGACCTGCTTTCCAGAAAGAACACTGAGAACCCGAAGCCCAAGAAGCCGGGTTATTAAAGTGAACGAACCAGAGTAACCTTATCCAGAGGGTGGCCAGAGACACTACAAAACAAAAGGTCAATTGCAATTGCTATTTTAGTTATGTACCCCACCCCATCTGGGGTTCGGAATTGCCGTATGGTGAAGCCTTGTTAAGTAATTTTCAAGTCAGATGAAAATTCTTTACTTTTTTTTTTCAGTAAAATTATAAGTCTGTGCACTTTTGAGAGCCATTTGGGAAACAGAATGTGACTAAGCTAACTATAATGGATTATTTGAGTTGAGAGTTATGACAGATTTTTAAATAACTTATAACAATCGCTAGTATTTCACACCTAAGCAGTGCCCGCAGTGTTCTAGGAGGTATGGTAAGTATGGACTCAGACACAATAATATTGTTTTTATTGTGTCCTTGGCACTTAGTCATGGTAGAATATTTTTACATTTTGTGTTTTAAAGGTAGAAATGCCATTCATACATGACAGCTTCAGGAATGTCGTCCTGTAACTTAGTTTTGAAGAACTTTACCACAGAGTGAGATGTTTGTAAATGAAAAGACGAAGACCCAGGGCAGTGAAATGGCCTGTGCCTGATCTACCCACTCAGTTCTAGAAGCAGTCCTGCTCTGACTCAGAACAGGGAAGAAGACGTCCTCAAGTTACTGAAGAGTAGACTGCAAGTTTCATTTAGACAATTCACTTTGCATTTGAAACTTACATGAAAGTATGGCAAAAATCATAGACTACTACCCAACATTTCTTAAATGTCTTACAGTATCTTAAAGTGCATTTTGAATTGTAACCTTTCATGGTTGTTGTTAAATGTTGTCGAGTCAGTTCTGATGTAGAGCGACCCTGTATAGGGTTTCCAAAGAGCGGCTGGTGGATTTGAATCACTAACCTTGTGGTTCATCGTGAACTTGGAGTCCAGTGCTGGTCCTGCAGCGCCACCCCATGGTGACAGTAGCCACATGGTGGTAGTGGTGGTAGTGTGCCGTGGAGTCAGTTCCGACTCATAGCGACCCTGTGTAGGGTTTCCAAGGCTGCACATCTTTACGGGAGCAGAAAGCCTCACCTTTCTCCTGCAGAACAGCTGTTTCAAACTGCTGACCTTGAGGTTATCAGCCCGACTTGTAACCACTAAGTTGCCAGAGCCTCCTTAGTAGCCACATACACATATCTAAACAAACCAACAACCTGCTGCATCTAGTTGATGCTGGTAAACAGTGACCTATAGGACAGACTCCTGGGAGTGGCAGAGGACACTGTAGGATAAGCTCTGGACCAGCAAGCCTGATTTGAATCTCAAGGCAGGCAGTTCAAACTCCCCAGCTGCTCCTCGGAAACCCTATACAAGATTGCTGTGAGACACACCTGACTCATTGGTACTTAACAACAATAGGGTATACTAGAACTGCTCCATAGGGTTTCCAAAGCTGTAAGTCTTTACAGGAGCAAACTGCTCATACTTCTCCTACAAGCAACTGATGGGTTTGAACCCGGTGATCTTCCTGTTAATAACCCAACACGTAACCCACTGGGTTGCCAGGGCTCTTTATACATGTCTGTTGTTGTTGTTAAGTGCCAGCAAGTTGGTTCTGACTCACAGCGACCCTGTACAGGGTTTCTGATGAGCAGCTGTGGATTTGAACCACTGACCTCGTGACTAGCAGTCTAGTGCTTATCTAGTGCACCACAATCAAGAGTCCTTAACGTGGCCAGGTTATGTCAATTAGAGAGAAGCTGGCTTTGCAGTTTTCCTGAAGTATGTTATTTCGTTAAAAAAAGAAGGTATATGTAGGCAGTAAATGCATAGCGTGTCCGAAGGCAGGCAGGATTTGAGGCAAGGAGAGGTGCTGTTACTGTGTAGAGAAGGAGGGTTCATGATGCGCATGACAGTACAGGAAGATTCAACTCTTCCCTGAGCAAGAAATCTATTGTCTCTGTGATAAAGTTCATGAATTTCATAGATTTTTCAGGGCCATCAGAGATCGGAATTCTCAAGATGCTGAGAATAACTTGAAGGCCAGTTTCTGAGGAGTTAAAGCTATCACAATAATTTGGGAAAATGCCCCTCAGTTTCCATGGGAACACAGGACTATGCAATACCTATACTTAAGAATCTGTATTTAACTTGCCCCTATCTTTAACGATTACTTTTGATATTGCAATTAAGAGAAACCAGTTCTAATGCAGAGTTTTTCCAGAAATATTAAATACCTTTATATTACATATGAGAGGGTTTCAAAAAAAAAGTTTCTGTTTTCCATAAACCTTTTGAAGGTTCCTGATATTTCTGTGGATCTCCGAGTCTCTGGGTGGTAGACGTGGTTTGTTATTGACTAGTACCCTCAAGTTGGGTGTGTGAACTCACCCAGCAGCAGCAGCACGGAAGAAAGGTCTGGCGACCTGTTTATGTAAAGATTGCAGCCGAGAAAACCCTGTGGAACCTTCTATTGTGTAACACATGGCGCCACTGTGATGCTAGCAATGGGTTCCTATTCAGATTATTATCTGATGAGACGTTATTCAGAAAGTAATACTCTAAACCTTTCATGGCCTAATACAGAAACACCTAAATTGGTTGCCCACCAGATTCGCTGGGGATACTTTGAAAACATTTATTTTATCCACAGAAGCCTTGTGGATTCAGAACCTTGGGGAATGCCTCTTAGTTGTTACCTGTACTAATGCAAATCTCTCATGATGATGGTTCTGCAGTGATCATCCCATGGATTCATGTTTAGGAGATACTAGCCTAGTACATAGTTTGGAATGTTACCAATATAAAAATCATGGGTTCCTGTGGTTGTTTGGTGCCTAAGCTTACTTTTTTACCCCTATTTTTCCCCCTAGAGACAGTTTATTTGTTTGGTGGCTGGGATGGAACCCAAGATCTTGCAGACTTCTGGGCATACAGTGTGAAGGAGAACCAGTGGACATGCATCTCTAGAGACACTGAGAAAGAGGTAAGTGCTCAGACTCGGAAGTCTGGGTTTACAAAGAAGGGGGTGCACTTCTTTTAGTGTCTGTCAGCAGTGGTAGCAAACTTTGTGGTGAACAAGTTTGCTGTAAGTAACTTTGTATTACAGCTTCTGTACATGTTTCTTTAACTGAGAGTTCATGAACAAGTTCATGTAATGGACATAAATAGACGTGGGCATAGCTCATAACTTTACAGGAGCAGACAGTCTCATCTTTCTCCTGAGGAATAATGTGGATTTGAGCCATCAACCCTGTGGTTAGCAGGCCAGTGCTGATCCGACAGGGGCCACCGCATTATATATCAGTTTCATAAATTTTATATTTTTAAATTAAAATTGTATCTATGTATGTATGTATGAACGTGTATCTATCTATACATACATATTAACACATTTCCATAATGAATAAGACAACTATGGTTTGGGTTTATGCTTTTAAATAAATGCATGATTGTAGACTGACAAAGAATATTAATATTTTTGCAATCTTTATAGAACTTGTTAACGGTAACTTCCACCTAAACTGTTTCAGATAATAAGGTGAGAAATAAACGCTGCCAAAGTCAATAACAACAACAGATAATACGGAACAGGGGTCACAATTCAGAATCTACCTTTTTAATTTAGGAAGACCATTTCAAAAATAGTACTGGAGTCCTAGTGCGGCACCATAGGATAAACACTCGACCTCAGTGTCGGTTTGCATCACAAGATTGCTGGTTCAAACTCACCAGTCTCTCCTCAGAAACCCTACACAGGGCTGCTATGAGTTGGAAGTGACTCTATGGTACTTCACAACAACATTTCAAAAATATCTGCTGCTATGTCTTTGCTGTTAGGAAGCAGGCTTCTTCCTTAATTAGTATGCTCCAGGGATAAATCAGTTATAATGCAAATACTTGATTTTAATCTTTTTAAAGATATCTTAAAATTCTGTCTTCTATTTATTGCCCCAGGTGAAAAAGTAGGTAAAAATGGCCTTTCCTTTTTGGTATTCAAGTACCATTTTCTGAAATGATTATTTCTACCCTTAACAAAAATAAAAACAGATTTTTTTAAATATCTAACTTATTCTTCCTAACAATTTTAAATCTAGGTTGATTGCACCTATAATTATTCTTGCAATAAGCTAGGGTTCATCCTCAAATTCTCCCTCTCCTCCAGTGCATGTGTCTAATTAGAGTCTCCATTGTAGCAGTTTCTAGCAGCTAGGACTAAATTGCAGATGTCTGTTTCTCTCCATGCCAACTTCATAGATTCCTAAACTCTTTGGTTGCCATTGTGTGGCCACATATATATTTTCCATTAGTCAACACAGTTCTTAAAAGAGCATCTTTGGTCACCTCCTCTTGAAACGCTGCTGTTGGCTTCAGGTCCTGTTTCTCTCCTGTTGCTGCAAGTTCCCCCAGAACCTTACTGCCAGATAGTGGTGGTGGTGGTGGTGAGATGGGAAGTCTGTTTCGACTCAAAGCCACTCTGTATAGAGTTTCCGAGACTGTAAGAAAGCCTCCTTTTTCTCCTTTGGAGCAGCCGGTGGGCTCAAACAGCTGACCTTGCTGTTAGCACTCCAGTGTGTAACCCTCTATACCACCAGGACTCCTTAGTGCCAGATAGTAGTAAGCACTTACTTTGATCATAAGTCTACAAATTGGATGTATCGGTCTTTAGGTTTTGAGCAGGTTCACTCCTGTGTCTGGGGTCGCCTGGTTTGAGATGGCTTTAGTTGGAACTACTTGGTATAGTTGCTTACCTTCTGTTAGGTTAGCTAGGGTTTGTTATCATGGCTGAGCAAGCCACAGATTTGTTATTGTCTTGTCTGTCAAAAGAGGTCATGTGAACAAATCCTGAGCCAGTGTAAGGTGAGGGCACTATCAAAGGGCATGGATACAGGCATGTGTGAATCATAATGCTCATCATAGTTAAGTGCCATCAAGTCGGTTCCGACTCATAGTGACCCTGTATAGGGTTTCCGAGAAGAGACTGGTGATTTTGAACCACCCACCTTGTGATGCAAACCGACATTGAGGTCGAGTGCTTACCCTACAGTGCAGTAGAACAATATGTCTGCCTCAGTTCCTTCTGCTCAGAGTGTAAATGCCAACCTTCACATAATTTCATGTCCAACCTCTTTTCTAGCCTTAGCTCCTAACTTTATGTGTCAGCCATACTTGTAGTTGCTAGATGTGTTTCCTTTTCTTCCCTGTGTGTTTTGACAGTGTTGGTTCTTTCTTATGTTTGGAGTCAATACTTCACACCCTACCCCCTCCAAAACCTACACGAGCTAGTAGACGGTTACTCATTCTTTTAAAACTCAGTTCAGACTTCACTTTCCCTCTGAAGCATTTCTTCACCTTATCAAGCAGAATCAGAAACTTCCTTTGGTGAGCCCACTTAATCTTTTGTATTCTTTGAATGGTTTGCTATAGTTGTTGTTAGGTGCCATCGAGTCAGTACCGAATCATAGCAACCTTATGCACAACAGAACGAAATACTGCCCAATCCTGGGCCAACCTCACTACTATTACCACACTTGAGTCCATCGATGGTGCCACTTGGCCAATTCATCTCGTTGGGGGGTCTTCCTCTTTATCTCTGACCCTCCACCTTACCAAACATGATATCC